GTAATTTATTTTTTTCAGTGTGTAATCCGTTGTTACTCTAATTCAATAAAAAAATTGTTCATGTCTGATATTGTAATTACATCTCTAGAATAATCATTTGGCTATTTTTAAAATTTTCAATTATCTCCTTACGATGTTAATGCTTTTGTTAAATCATTTAGTACACTGAACATGTTTATTATAGTATTTTTAAAGTCCTTGACTGTAAGTTCTATCATCAATGTCATTTCAGGATCTATTTTAATTGTCTCCTGGATAGAGTCACATGTTAATGCTTTTTTATATGTCTAGTATTTGTGACTGTGTGCTAAAGCTTTTAATTTTATGTTAATGGATGCTGTGTTCTGTTTCAATTTGTTTTCCTAAAAGCATTTTAAATGTTCATACAACAATCTGTTGTCTCTTTTTGAGACATTTTTAAGCTGTACGAGCAGGTATCCAAAGTAGATTTTACCTCTGAGGTTTCTCCCGAATGCCCATGTATTGAAAAAGAACCTGCTCTACACTGTGACCTTTTGGAACTCTTCTGTCTTCCTGGTTTGGTCTCTGGAGATGTTCAGCTTGTAATTCCCCAATCATTCTCTCAGCAGCCTTGAGGACTTTCACTATAGACACCCAGAATCTTGTGTTTAGTTACAAAATCAAGAAGACCTTCTCACTGAGGAAAGAATAAAAACAAACACTAGAAGATATGAAATATAGGCAACATATAGTAATGAACCAGAAGGAAATGATTATTATTCACAATTACTTTAAATGTAAGTGGATTAAATTTTCCAACGGAAAGGCAGAGAGGTTTGCAGAAAAATTTAATTAAAAAAACAATGTGATCCAACTCTGTGCTTTCTTGAAGAGATTCTCTTTGTTTATACAGTTGTTTTAAGTTCCAAAAATAAAAATAAAACATGATTAGGAAGACATCTGAAAAAAAAAGAAAAAAAAAACTTTCAGAAACTAACACAAAATTTGCTAAAATCGATTTTATTAAGTGTTCTTATGGGGAGACATACGAGATTCTATGGAATCAATTAAAGAAATGTTAAATGAGAAGCAAAGAAGGTTGATAAAGAAGTGACATTTAATTGAGATCCAAAATATGACATTTAATTTGGCTGAACATTAAAAAGAGAAACAACTGATTTAGCTGTGTGCTTTAATTAGTCTTTATTCTGGTGTCAAAAGAAAGCAATTATATATATTATATTTTCAAGAGATATTTTCCTGTATCATACATTACTGTATTAATATTCCATATTATTAAACTAAATACAAAAATTATACTGATTCTTAAAGTCCCTGTAGAAGGCATTCTGTACCTCTTTGTTTCTTAAGCTGTAGATCAAGGGGTTAAGCATGGGGATCACTAAAGTGTAAAACACAGATGCCATTTTATCAGTATCAAAGGAGTGAGTGGACTTGGGATGCACGTACATGAAGAGTAGAGACCCGTAGAACACAACCACCACTGTCAGATGAGAAGCACATGTGGAGAAAGCTTTTTTCCTACCCTCTGTAGAGTGCATTCGACATATGGCTAAGAGAATTATCACATAAGATATAAGGACTACCAGGAGGGAGGAGATCAAATTAAATGCTGAAAATAGCATGACCAACAATTGCATTTCCTGTGAATTTGAACAAAGCATAGGTGATAAGGGAACAACATCACAGTAGAAATGGCTGATGATGTTAGAGCCACAGAAGGCTGACGTAAAAATCTTAATAGTGAACATCAGAGCCTGAAAGGCACTGTAGAGGTATGGAATGCCCACCAGCACATGACAAAGTCTCGGAGACATGATCACATTGTAGAGCAGAGGGTTACAGATGGCCACGTAGCGGTCATAGGCCATGGCTGACAAGATGAAAAATTCACTGATAATGAACAGAATGAAGCAAGCCATCTGTGTGGCACATGCATAATAGGAAATAGTATTTTGTTCCACAACAAAATTTGCCAGCATCTTGGG